AGGGAATTGCTGCAGTTGACCACTGATCGACCCGATTTTAGACTAGAAATTGCCATTGTGAACAAGATCTAGACAGTGCCCAGCTTGGGGGCTTCAAAGGACGCAGCAACTAACCGTGGGTTAATCCTCTTCCATATCAAGCTTCATCTTGACCTTGAACAGATATCAGTATGATCCTTGGGACCTGACATTTAATAAGTCTTTCGGAGTCTATTACCATGGGCTACAGCAGCTCTGGAAAGCCTTGGCATATAATGCTTTGTTGCAGAAATATCAGAAACATCTTCTATAATAATTTGCTTAGGGTCAGTAGGGGTTGGATGCTTCAGTGCAGAAGCTTCCTGATTATAAACTCTGGATCTTGAAATTGATTTTGAACAAGTTTTTTGTCTGGCAGCTGCATTTACTATGCGTTGGCTGGTACATTAGGAAACTTCAAGTCTGACATGAAAACGCATTGACAGTTATTGCTGTCTTACAGCACAGTGATAAGCAAGAAAGTTGACTGGGTGTCACTCTGTGAAGGGCTGTATTTGTATTTTTTCACAGTTTTTACCAGTTTGCAGAGGCCAACAAGGTTTCCAGCTCTGAGATTACAAAGCCTTGAATTTGCTCCTTTGATTTCTTTGCTAAATACGAATTTGTGGCATAACTGATCATACGGAGCTCTTGAGTGCATCATGGTGGCAATGCTATTTGGCCAGGGAGAAGATGTCATGAAAGAAAATGAGACAGAGGTCACTAATTCCACCTGGCAGAGGTCTGATTTGGGTGTAAGTGTTAGGGAAACACAGGAAAGATTCACCTGTAAGACCTGATCTGCAGGGTCAGGGTTATATGATGAACTCTAAAGAGGAATGTGTGTGTTAGTGGGAAATTGTTTTGCAGAGCCAGTGTCCAGTCCTACAGGTTTGAGAAACATGTGGCCGGGTGGAAGTTAAGAACTGAGTCTGGATTTAAAGGACCGAGTGCCTTCGCTATAGCCTTGGACCTCATCCCCGATTGCTTTCCCCAAGGTTTAATGAAAATCCAAGTAATATTCTCTCCTGGTAGCCCTTCAGCTGGAAGCCTGGTGGTGCAGAGACTGTACAACACCTTACACAATGTGGCTCCCTCCTTCCTCCCCATCCCCTTCTACTATTGTAATACACCAACTACAGTAACTGAATATTCTTCATTAGCCTCCAACAAACTTTAAATAGACCAATGACAGTTTCCTTCCTTGTAAATTCTTTTCCCCAGCCAATTTCTCCTAATTTTACAATTTTTAATGCAAAAAAAAGTGGCCCATTAACACCCACATGTAAAACTGACATTCTGGACTGGTCTCTTCCTTGCTGTGTGGACAATTTCCTATATTGCCTTTATAAATTCAGCTTTAGCCTTTTTTCCCTGCTTCCTACTTTGCTACAGTTTTTTCAGATAGCAAAATACCTGGACACAACAGTCATTTTGTGCTTGTGGCGAACAAAACCTTTCATTGCATTAAACTGTGGCTCAGGATTGCAACCAGCTATTTTGGGAATAGTGACTTTTAGGCACTGCAAAAAAACCCACCTCAAAACTTTTTAAAAGGCACAAGGACAAACTCAGATGGTCTGTACACTCTGTATAAAGTGGGCTCAGGAAACAGGAGAAATATTTCAGGATGAGTGTTGCTTTACAAGGTACCAAAAATATCTCTTTATTAGAGCTCCTATAAGAAAGAACAGGTAGGAATAGAGAGATAATTGCCTTTGTGTACAGAAAAATAGCAAACCGAAAGAAGAGAATATTTGAGCTATTTAGTTAGAAAATACTTTCCTTCCTCTCCTTCCTCAAATAGTAGATTTTTTGGCAAAAATAGCATTCAACATGTTTTGACTGAAATGGAAATATTTCAGTCTAGAGACAAGTCATTGCGATACCTCTTGGGAACAGCTGTTTGGAAACTTGGTGTCTCCAACCTGTTCCCTCTCCAGCATGACTCCCTGCTCCCGCTGTAGCTCCTGCAGAACACCACGGTTCTCTTATGGCTATGGAGGTTGTTGTGTCCCCTGGGAAATGCAGTCTGAAAGGAATTCGGTCCCCAGTGTGCAATGGGAGTGTGGGATCCTGACATCACCTATGCTGGCACTCGGGGTAAAAGTATTGCTGTTTCAGGCATACAGCTCCTTTATGGAAAGAATATTCTTATTATCAAGAAAAAACAATCAGGTTGTTATTTTTTCACTCCGCTCAGCTTAGAGAAAGTGTTGATTTAGGTGAGAAGTATCTGGGGTAAGGATGGCTTCTTAGTGTTTGTGTGGCGTTTCACACAGCGAGGGTCTGATATTGATGGGGTCCCTGTGAGCTACTATGAGAATTTGCTGTAAGAAACCCCCATGCAGATCTAATCCCACGTCCCAAAGAGACATCCAGTTCTGCCCCCACTGAACCAGGGAGAAACTGTGAAAACAGTCATCTCTACATCCTCCAGAAAAGCCACCAAGACCATGTGTGGCATCATACCATGGTATATCCCTCCTTCTCCTCCACTGTGGCTCAGAGGTACCACACTGAAAATAATAATGAGGCTCTATTGTTTCTTGGGGCATTTGGTGGTGGTGGTGTTGGAGCTGAGGAAGAAGGAACCAGTCAATCCATGCAGCAGCATTGGAGGAGTATCATCTCCCTGTGGATCGCCCTCTTGGAATGGAAACATTGTGGGGATGCAGCTCTGGGGTGTTGTGCTGGTATTATTTTCATGAGGATTGCTGTGTGAAAGAACAGATAGCTCAAGAACATGACCTGGTAGGGCTGGGACATACCCCAGAACCTAGAAGGTTTGAAGGTCATAAGAGTTTTGAAGGCCACAGCTCTTGACCTTCCTGAAAAGCCACCAAAGCTGCCCTCCAGCAAGAGTTCCTAGGGTGGAAATGCTAGTGTTGGGTGTCCACAGGCAAAGAGGTCCTTTGAAATCCACCACATACCCTGGCATCCATTGCTGTCTTGTGTATCTGAGGCATAAGTTTGCTTCCTTCCAGTCCGTCTCTCTCTTGTTCTTGTGCACAGTCTGGACTTCAGTTCTGGGGAAGAAGATGCCTCTTCAGCCTCTCAAGTGGATGGAAAGCCATGCTCCTGTGGGGAGGAGCTGCTGGGCTTCCAGGGGAAGAAACCCCACCTTTGGAATAGGCTCTCCTTGGCAAGCCACCAGTGCCTGGGGTTTGGAAAGCTTTTGTGGCACAAGGAAAGACACATTTATTTGGGTCTGAGCTCCTGGGTGAGCTTCCTCTCCATTACAGCTCAGTTGCTGATGTTTCTGGCAGCCACCACAGCAGTGGTTTGGATGGAAGCTCCCTGCTGTGAGCAGGTTTATATAAATACTATTGTTAAGCTTTGTAAATAAATTCTGAGTTGCTATAGTGATAGGTCCTCTCTAAACGGTTTAATTGGAGATTCAGGGCTCCTCCTTCACATGGAAGGTGAGCCTGTTGGTGCGATTTAAGGATCTGTCCTTGCTTCAGCAGAATGATTTTGGGCAGGTGAGTAGGGTACTTCAAAGCCAGCTTGGTTCAATTGTTATAAACTTGAAGAAGAAAGCTTGCATTGGAATCTTGGCTGTGGTTCATGGCTGCTCTAAGCCTGGTGGCACTTTGTAAGGTGCTGCTGTACTACCCGGTCTTTAAGCATTTTAGCAAGTGCTTGGATTCAGGGAGGTCTCAGCAGTCTTGGAGACAGCCCAGGAGGCAGCTTGCACCTTGGTTGAAGGCTCTGAGACTATTCAGCTTCACTTCTCTCTCCTGCAGAGCAGGAATAATCTTGTCCAGGCCACGTTTCTGATGTGCTTAGAGAAATGTCTCCAAAACACACTGTAGGGTCTTGCAGGAGAGGGGATTTCCAGCCAGTGTTGGCAAAGCATCTCTGCTTCAAACCAGATTTTGGAGCAAGGGAATGAACCAGACTTTCCGTTAGCGCTCCCCCTCTTAGCCTGGCTCTGCTGAGGTGTGTGGCTCTGGTGTGCAGCAGGACTTGGTGATTTATTTCTTTCTCTCTCCTAAGCGCTCTGAAGTGAAGCTTGCTCTCTGGTCCAGGGGTCCCCATCCAGGACAACCAGACTGGCAGACCCTGGGGAAAAGAAATGGGGACAAATACCATAAGGGGGAAGAAGAAGACTTAAATACTTAATCCATCTCCAAGTCAGCTTGGAAGAAATGATTCTTATGTGCACTTGTGCACACCTACATATACAATACAAATAGTATGTATTTTATAAATGCTACTAGAATATGTAAATATAAATCTTGTGTATTTTGCTATAACTGCACGTATTTGTTGTATGTAGGGATGTAAAAGAGCAATTGTGGTGGAAGAGCCACAAATCTAAAGGGAAAGATACTAAAAAGAAAGTGAAATAGAAGAGTGTTGCATGGATAAAGTGTGACTGTGCTGCAGTCTCCTGGGAGGGATGTCTCTGCCTGAAAGTCTAAACGAACATCATGACACTAATGTGTTGCCTTCATTTATTAAGTCACTGATCTATTTATTAATCGATTTTCTGTTTGTTTTTTTTGTTTGTTTCTTTGCTTTTAGTAAAGAGTACCCAGTTGTTCCCAGGAGCACAGTGAGACAAAAAGTGTCCTCGAATCACAGCCCCTTCAGTGGTGAGACCAGGGTCCTTTCTGCGTCTTCCAACCTGGGCTCCCAGTACCAGTGCGAGAATGGGGTGTCGAGCACCTCCCAGGACCTGCTCCCACCTGCCAACCCCTACCCAATCTCCCAGGAGCACAGCCAGATCTACCACTGCACCAAGAGAAAAGGTCAGACTTTGGCTGCTCCCCACTGGGTGCTTTCCTCTTCCTAACATGACTGTCAGTGTTGTTTTCTCATATTTCCTCTTGCCCATTGGCTGGACAGACCCAGCCTGCTTTATGGTGACACATGAGGATGAGCAAGGGATGAGGATTGCACAGGTCCCCCAGGCTGGGCTGGGAAACTCCTCTCACCATAGCCTAAAGCCCCATCTCTGCTGCTGGGCTGAGAGCAAGCTGTCTGGGGGGGTGGCAGTGCCTTTCACCCATGTCGAATCCACATTCAGTAAGATAGCTGGTGCTGGAGATAAAGATGACTTATCTGCCTCCATAGGCCCTCAGACAGGGTTAATCTCCAAGTGGAGATACCTTGACAGCTTGACTTTTGCACAGTTTTCGTCTGAGAGTCTCACAGTTGGGAGACAGTTGTCTGCAGAAAGCAATTCCACTTAAATGCTCAGTCTAATGAATGGTGCATGGGATTGACAATCATGATATCCATGTTCGTTCCCCTCTGGTGCGACTGACCTGCTTTGACAGAGCTTGAGGGATTAAACTGTGAGGGCTTTACACTGACTGCTCAGCTCGTCCTGGCGTGAAGAGCCCCATGCTATCCATTGGGATAATTGTTCTCATGCAGGAGAGAGCAGTTTGTGGTCTCTCCTTTCCTTTCCTTTCCTAAAGTAATGGGAATGCTTAGGTGCAGAAACACTTGCAGGACTGAGACAGTAAAAGCCTTAGATCAGGTCTACCCCAACCACTCAGAAGAATATAGGGAGTTTCCAGGCTTGAATGCAACCCTATGTGGTGGGCAGGAGATGGCTACAGCCTATCCTAGTCCCCCTTTCTCAGGCTTTAGTCTACATTGCATGGGAAAAGCTAGCAGGAGTCAGCAAGCACCATGTCATTTGAACGCACCAAGAATTTCTCCAGCCTGGTAGCCTCTCCCCACAGCAGATCCCTTCCTGCCTCCCTGCATGGTCCTATCAGTCAGCCACATGTCATTATTTTTAGCAACATAACCCCTGGGGCACTGGGATGTGCAGTGCAGACAAACAGGCTAAGGTAGCGGATGCTGGCAGATGAGGCAGAAGGACAGTGGAAATCCCTCTCCCATCCTTGGTGAATCTCCTCGTTGTTGTAACGCGTGTTGTGTACAAATATAAATGCAAAACAGAAAAAAACATTGAGAAATCTTAATATTTTCCTGAGACTGAGCTGAACAGTGATGAATGGAGGCCTCATTTTCTGACCCTTCCAGCCGACCAGGCGACCTGTGTGCTCCTATGGAATACAGCAAAGCTGTGGTTGGAAATGGTGATGCTAGACATGAGCTAGCTGTTTGGTGGGGAAGAAGGAGTTGCAGTGGCTTCCCAGAGTGTCCCTTAAAGTCAGAGGTGGGGTGTGTAGCCCTTGCTGAGGTTCTCTGACATAACTGGGTTGCTGCAAAGCCCCATTGTTGGTGATGGAAAGGCTGGTCCCATTCACCCTTGATGTCCCTCAGCCTGTGATCCATCCTTGGTGCTCCTTTGCCCTGGGAGCTGAGTTTTTCCCGCTCCTCTTCCCCTCTGCAAAACCTAACCAAAACAATCTGGCCCAAATGGCAACAAACCCTTTGGACAATCTCCAACTGCTGCATGTCCCCGCACCACAGAGCAATTCATCATTCCCCTCCACATTGTAACGTGATAAGGAATCAACAGAGGTTTCCTTCCAGTTTTGGGATTCCCGCTAAGTGGTGTCTCCATGGGTGGTTTCCCTCAATCCCCCAATTATCTCACTTCCTCTTATTGTCACAAAAGAGACGACTATCTGCCCTGTAAGAAGCTCCCCGGCCCCTTTTGGCCTGCATGGCCCTTGCGAAAGTGCAGGAGAACTGGCAAAGGGAGTCCTTGTCTGTACTGCTGATGGCCTCTCATTATCTCTCCGATGGCTTGAGTGGCACAAGCAGTTAAGGGCCTTTTATCAAAGCCGCCAAATGCTTTAATCAAAGAGAAGCAGTGTCCTGTCCGATACCACCGGCTTCTTCCGTGAAGCTGGATGTCTCAGGAGCCTGAGTCTCTGCTTTCCTCCCTGTGCCTTTTTCCTCCCCTCCCCATGCATCTAGTAAATCGAAAACAGCCACCAGGGCTTAAAGAAAAGAAACATGAAGTTAATGGGAAACAGAGAGCCAACATAAGCTGCCAAGCAGCTCTTTGCAAAGTGAAATTAATTAAAAAAGGAGAAAAAAAGAGAAGTTACTAGAGATGAGAAATTCTGTGCAGATAAATCAGAACGTGATCCAATGTTTCCTCTCAGACTGAGCGTGGCACTTTCTTCTAGCATCAAGCAAGGGTCTTTATTGAACTTGGGGAAAATAACCTTACCTATAATATTCCTCTTTTTCTTCCTTTTCCAGTCTCTCCTTTGTAAGTGTAATACCAAGTTTTCTCTCTCAGCTCTCCTGCTTTCCCACTTTTCTGCAAAACTTTCAACAAGCATCATCATCTAAGAAAACATGAAAGCAAGAGCATGTTCACTTCTAACGCACCTCTGTCCGTTTTCTGGACTGGGAACTCTATTGCTTGCATTGGATCATCAAGTCCCCAAACATTGACTCCTTTTCAGTCAGTTTAGGATTTATCTCTAATGGCTTATTTCCTTTTTGCAAGGCTGTAGGGATGGAGAAGTTCTCACAGGGGCAGAGGGCAATACAGCTGGGTTTGAGACCAGCTGGTGTCTGTATCTGCTGTAGCAAATACCATTTCCAAGATAGTGTCTCAGATATGGCTCCTTCCAGCTTTGACATCTCATGATGTTTCTCTGTATCCTTTTTAATCAGGAGGTCAAGTCTTGGTTTTGGCTCAGTTAAGAATAGGTCTGTATTCAAGCAACTTGAAGGCACCTTTTTCAACTTCTACTTCCTTGGTGACCTAAGACAAAGATTTAGCTCTGTGGTTGACAGTGTTGTTCTTAGCTGTCAAGTGAAGATGGATTCACTCTGGAGATCTGATATGGAGTTACATTAGGGGAGAGCAGCAGAGCTGCGAGGGGATGTTATCTCTGAAAGCTCCTCTGTTTCAGGGAGGTGATGCTCTTCTGGGTGAGGAAGGAAGGACGGACACATCCCAGAGCTCTGAACCTGGCAATTCCGGGTGCCCAGGTGGGAGTTTGGGGTTGCAGCATTGGGAATAACCCCAGCATGGTGCAATGGGGTAGCTGCTCCAGGCACTTTCTGAACATACTGGATCCTGGGGAATGTCAGTCCTCAAGGCAAGAATCATCCTGCCTTGTATCCCAGCTCCACACTGAGATTTCTCATGGCATTTCATGAAGTTGCTGGTCTTGAGAGGATGGATTAACTCCAATCCTGGATTTCTCCTGGGGTTTCACAAAGTTGCTTGTCTTGAGAGGATGTATTAACGCCAATCCTGTATCTTACCAAGGAGTGGTTTCAGTTCTTGATGTGGATTTTCAGGCTGCAACAAAGACCAGTTAGAGCTTTGCCTTTTTTTCTAGTTTTTCTAGTTGTTCTCCACCTCTCCCTCTCTCACTGTTGTGCTTGGAGAAGCCTAAAATGACTTACCAGCAGGCAGCTTGCTTTTCTGTCTTTCATTTTAGCCCCACATCCCAATTAAGGCATTGGGGCTTGTTTTCCCTTGTATTATCCGCTCCCTCAGATTTCCTGTGAAGTAAAAAGCCATCCCTCTAAACCTCTGCTCCCTTCCACCCTTACACAATCTCAACCACTTGGCAGACTTCTGGTATGCTTGTGATGCTGAACAGGAGGCAACTGGATCAGCCTCTCCCTGGGGAGGTTATAAAAGTTGTCATGTTGGCACTCTTCTTGAGGGAGAAGAGGGACGTGGCAGAACTCACTGGCTCCAACCAGTGAGGACTGTATCCTTCAGCTACCTAGGTTGGACATGACCATGGGGAAGAATGTCTCTTTCATCTCTTTCCTGCTCTGATGAGGTTGGTGGAGATACAGCAATGACTTTCCCCTTTCTCCTCAAGAACAGGCACGATCAGGGTGGATAGACTTCTTTGTTGACTGAACTGATTTCTCCCTCATCCAACCCAGCTTTTCCTTCGCTCAAAGAATCTGTAGGACAAAAGTCAGGTATGGGGTCTCTTTTTGGAGGACATGCTGCTCGTCCTGCTGATGTTAGGAGATGCAATGAGTTGGCCAAGGCTTGAGCTATGCTATAGCCAGAGGTGTTTGCTGCTTGAGTAGATGCAGTGGAACCCAGAGCGAGGTGGCTGCTGGGACACCAAGGGTGAAGAAGAGCCTGTCTGCATGGTGGGGAGATACCTAGGGCTGGTGTGCACTCAGCTCTTGCTGTGCAGCCACGTTGCTTGTGGCACTGTAGTTTCAATGGCTTCATATAAGTATCCCATTCTCCCATCAGGAGGTGACTCCTGTGCCTCTGCAGGCAGTGCTGGCAACTCACTGCCCCTCTAGAAGAGGTTCCAGCTTTTGGCATTGAATTGTCTCTAGCCCACAACCCTTTCTGTTGTGTTCTCCTGCAGTGCAATGCAGCCATACTCACAAACTGTGTGATTGCTGAAATAACCAGGGTATCTTAGGTTTCATGTCCTATGATGTAAGTCTCATTTGCCCTCTAGGGATGTTAATTTGGATTGACTCTGCCTTTTTCATGCCTTCTTTGACAGCCCTCGTCAGTCTTGCACAGTGGTATTGGCTATTCAGGCTCATGTTAGATTCATACTAGAAACTAGTCAGGATAAACCAACAGTGTTAGTGATAATCACCCATTGTGTCTCCCTCACAAAGTTGGGATGAGCCTACTGTCATGCCCTGGAAGTGTGGGTGAACTTTAAAAACTAAACCAGTAGTGTCCCATTCTTCATTGTCTTCTGACCCAGGGAGCTGATTGTCATGAATTGGAAATGGAGTTCTCTTGATTTACACTAGAGGAAGAGGTGAGCCCAGTGCACTCTGTAGTCTTGAGGTTTTACATGTTTGCATTTCTTTTTGGATGGAATTGGGAAAATTCCATTTAAAAAGCCATTTGTGTGGTATTTACAACCCAGCTGGAAGTAGTAAATACCGGAAATCTTGGAACTGCTTATCCTCTCGCTCAAGCTCCTTCATTAGATAGATCATCAGATTCCTTGTGAGAGTGCCAGTTTCCACCCCATTCTGCAGGCTCCGTTTTCCTTGGATCCATTTCGGAGCAGCTTCTCCCAAGTGCTGGCAGCTTCTCCTCCTTGGCAGAACCTTTTGCTTTCTGAGGCTTGTGCAGTATGGAGAGACTGGTCACAAGAGCTGATTGCCACCCTTGGCTTCCAAGAATAGTAACAAAAGGGGAGGATGGTCAGCATCCCCCAGAAGTGCCCAGCACCTCTGAGGGCTCAGTGGCAACAGGAAAAAGATAGTGAAGTTCTATCAGGGAATCAACATCAAGAATCAAACCCAGAGCAGACCAGGTATCTCCTATGTCCTGCTCACACTGATGCTGAAGAGGTGAGAGGATCTTCAGAGAGAGGATTATGGCCTTGGGACAGTCCAAGCTCCAGAGCAGGTGGGGATGAATTTAAACAGCAGCCTTCAGCATTGTGTAAGAGCTCTGTTTGTCTTGTTCTCCTTTTGCCACCCTCTTCCTTGAATATGTCCCCTTTCCACTCCTAGATCTGTTCCATACACCATATGGAGGCACTTTACCTGCTCTGTGCTGGCTCTGGTCTCCTCTGCAAGGAGTGGTGGGACAATGTCAGATCAGACTTCATATTTTCAGAAAGCTTGGACCAATGTAAATTGATCTGCTGGAACCAGCTGAGCATCTCTTGTCTCTATCATCCCATGTGATGATGGAGATGGACTGTTCTCCTTATCCATCACTCCGAGGTTATGTAGGTGGGAAAATCATCAGAAAGAGGAGCCAGAGGGCAGACAGAAGCTGTTAGGATAGGCTGTAATCCTTCATTAGTGACTGTCACTTTGGAGATGGCTATGGTGTCCTTACACATCTTACAACCTGAGTGATGATGACCTTTCCTGATACAACATCAGTGGAGCTGGCTCTAGAGAGGCCAGCAGAGCCATCACAACAACTTACAGAAGAAGAGAGGGTACCTACAGGGCTTCCACTGCAATTCTGGTTGGTTTTGTTTTTCTCCCTTCACCTGCAGCGAATCCTGGAAGCAGACCCATAATGTTGTGGCTCTGCCTGTCTGGGCTGGGGCCGGTAGTGGGATGTCTGGGCTAAATGGAAAAATCAGCAACCTGAGGTTGTAAGTCAGGCGCAGTTTTACACAACTGAAAAACAGAGTTTGACTGGTTTGTGTTGTATATTTTAAAAAAATGAAATAAAATAAACAGTCAAACCCCAAGCCAATGATGTCTTATGCCAGCGGAGTAATGCGGTTTAATGCTGAAAACTTTATTAGCAGAACAATGCTTCATTTTACAAGACATTGTTTTTCCACCCTAGTGTTCTTATTACTCAGTGGTGGGACAGGGATCCAAAACTTTGAGGCTGTCTGTAAAAGCTTGGGCTCAGGCTATTCTTCCAGATGTGCCTCCTGTGATACACAGACCTGTGCTCGAGACGGAGCTTAGACCTGTGTTTCCAGCTTTGGTCTTTCAGGGGACAACATCCTCTCCATCTCTCCTATATAAAATTACTCTGATCAGGATGAAGGAGGGTGATACACTTTTGCATCTATCTGCTTGCTGTTCCAGCTGTTTTAAAGATATTATTGCATTGCTCACTTGTCCCATTCTACTTTCTATCCCAATTTAAGTGACAACAGGGAAGGGAGATAACTTGATTATCAGGGCTCTGTGGTGCTGGGACTAAGGAGCCAGGTTTTACTGTTGTCAGGAAGAAAGCACGAAATGGGACTTTGCTTTTACCAGCTCAATTTACAGGCTATTACAAAGTAAAAGGACACCAAGGAGAAGGTCCCCATGGAGTGTATCTCGGTACCTGACATTTTCTGGGGTGGTTGGGCCAAGAAGACTAACAACAGCAGTTGTTCCAGCTGGGCTTGGCAGACACCTGAGAGGGAATAATGGGTTATTTTACAAGCAGAGTGGGTTCAGCTTCCAGGAGAAAGCACATGGCTGTATCTCGCAGTAAGCATGTTGACAAGAAACAAGAGGTGTCCGTGCTGCCCATCTGTACCTCCTGAAGGAGAGACATGGACGCTCACCTTGGAGCAGCCCAGCAACAACACTTGTGTACCTGTGGTTTTGCAAGTGCTTCTTGGGGGTCAGATGCTTTCAGTCCTTTTTGTGGAGCTGGTTTTGGGATTTTTTCATCCCTTTGTATTTTCAGGGTGGAAAAAAATCACAGCTCAAAACATGTTGGTTGAGAAAATGTGGAAAGGGCTGTTTCATGTGGTTTTCTTTCAGCTTCCCCCTCATTGAAAGAGTGCAGCTAAGAGGGCTCTAGGTGAAGTGGGATGTTTTTTCTGCCTGCACCAGAAATCTTGTCCTTGAAACAGCAGCAAAGTTAATCTGGGTTGGAAGAAGCTCCCCTCTGCCTCATTGTCCTTAAAATCTCTTGATGAAGTGCTTGTCCTTGGGAACTTTGCCATCCATTCTGGCAAAGCTGGATTTCATTTGATGATCCTGTGAATGAGTAAATAAAGGCATATTCATTTATTCAGTTTGCTTCACCCTAGAGTTTTCACCTAAATTGTTTATCTTCTTCCCTCTGTTGGCCCAGGATGCTGCAGAAAACAAAGGGCTCGGCAAGCTGTGCCTTGTTGTTTCTAGCTGTGAAATTTACTTTTCTTTGCTGTTACACTTGGCTCCGTGCATGGGATTTATGTGCCCAGCTCTCCTTGGCACAGCTAAAGACTGGGGCTGTACAACTCCAAATCTGATTGTCTCAACTGTGCCATCGCTGAAGCTCTCCCGGGGGGGAATTTTTATTGTGATCTCCATTCCTGCCTCATTTATTGTGAAAATATATCATTGTAAAAGCTTTTAGTTAGCAGCATCAGCTCTGAGCCTCTCAGTTGGGAGTGGAGACCTTTTTAGGTGCAATGTATCCACAGGCAGATGTTACACCTCTGGTCAAAGTACTGCAGCTGAAGGGAGATTAAGAGCTTGGAGGTGTATATTAGGTAGCATCAAGCAAGGTAAGCCTGAGGATCCCTCCAGTATCTTACTGCCTTGATTTTCCTCCCAGAGCTCCTAGTCAATCCCTTTCCCACTCCAGCAGTGCAAGACTTGATTTCAGCTGGATTGATTCAGATGAATTCCAATGAAGGAATCTGTATTTACACTGCCATAACTGAAAGAAGTGTCTGGATCAGCTCTGTGCAGGCTGTGTCCTTGGTAAAATGAGGACTGTGGAGAGGGAGGTTCAGCCGAGGGCACAGTATTGTTGTTCACTACCAGGAGTTTTTCTCTCCCAACAGATGAGGAATGTTCCACCACTGAGCATCCCTACAAGAAGCCCTACATGGAAACTTCTCCAGCAGATGAGGACCCTTTCTACAGGTCCAGTTACCCCCAGCAGCAGGGACTGAACACTTCATACAGGACTGAATCAGCCCAGCGCCAAGCATGTATGTATGCCAGCTCTGCTCCCCCCACGGACCCTGTGCCCAGCTTGGAGGACATCAGCTGTAACACGTGGCCGAGTGTGCCATCCTACAGCAGTTGCACAGTGTCTGCCATGCAGCCGATGGACAGGTTACCCTACCAACATTTCTCTGCCCACTTCACCTCGGGGCCGCTGATGCCCCGGCTCAGCAGTGTGGCCAACCATACCTCCCCACAAATAGGAGATACCCATAGCATGTTTCAGCACCAAACCTCTGTTTCTCACCAACCCATTGTGCGGCAGTGTGGACCTCAAACTGGCATCCAGTCCCCCCCAAGCAGCTTACAGCCCGCAGAGTTCCTGTATTCCCACGGCGTGCCTCGAACCCTTTCTCCCCACCAATACCACTCGGTCCACGGCGTGGGAATGGTGCCAGAGTGGAGCGAGAACAGCTAACAAGGGAGTCAGGAAAGTGCAAGAGCATTAACCATGGAAAAAAACAAGAAAAGGAAAATGGGAAAAGGCAAAAAAACCCCCAAACCCTATTGATAATAAAAACGAGAGTATTTTGCAAGACTCCTTTAACTGAATGTTCACCAATAGCACTCAAGAGGGACGGACACTGATTGAAGCCACAGATGAAATAGTCATTTCGGTGTGACTTACTCCCCCCTCCCCATCCCTTTTTCTTTTGTTTCAAAAGAAAACCCAACAGTGTGGCACACATCCCCCCTGCCCCCATCCCCACCCAGTTTGCGTTGCTGCCACCGCCAGCCCTGTGCCCTTGTCCTCTTCCCTGCCCTCCTGCTCTTTTTGTTCTCCAAAGGACACCAAACTCCTGCTGCCTTTCTCAACACGGTCAGAATGCTTGAACGAAAACAACTAGGATGTTACTTTTATTTTGTGGTGTTGATGTTGACAATGTTATATAATA